TTGTTTGGCGGGCCCAGGCTGGATTCGAACCCACCACCTTGGGTGTATGTGGCTGGCACCTTAGCCACTTGAGCCACAGGTGCTGAGCCTCTTTTTTTTTTTTTTTTTAAATGACAGTCTCACTATGTTACCCTGGGTAGAGTGCTGTGGTGTCACAGCCCAGAGCAACCTCCAACCCTTGGGCTTAAGTGATTCTCTTGCATCAGCCTCCCAAGTAGCTGAGACTACAGGCGCCTGCCACAATGCCTATTTTTTTGTTGTAGTTGTCATTGGTTTGGCAGGCCCAGGCTGGGTTCAAACCTGTCAGCCTTGGTGTATGTGGCTGGCGCCCTAGCCACAGGCCATGAGCCTGCTTAGATCTCCTTTCAACTTCAAAATGCTGGGAATGTGCTTGGTTTCCTATTAGGCTGTAATTCCTGTTCCCCTTTTTATGGTAAAAAAAATTTTTTTCCCCCCTTGAGACAGTCTGTTGCCTGGGTAGAGTGCTATGGCATCATAGCTCACATCAACCCCAAACTCTTGGGCTCAAGCGATCCTTAGTCTCTTGAGTAGATGAGACTACAGGCATTGCCACATCCGGCTAGTTTTTTTCCCCATTTTTAGTAGTGATGGGTGGTCTTGCTCAGGCTAGTCTCAAACTCCTGAGCTCAAATGATCCACCGACTTGGTCTTCCAAAGTGCTAAGACTACAGGCATGAGCCACTGCACCTTTCCACCTGATTTCTTAGGCCTATTAATCTTTCTTTTAGGTTGCAAAAGCTGGTTGGTCACTGGAGGATGTCGATTTATTTGAAATCAATGAAGCCTTTGCAGCCCTGTCTGTTGCAATAGCTAAAGAACTTGGATTAAACTCAGAGAAGGTAAACATGAGCAAGTAAGCCTGAGGAGAGCTTGCCAGTGAATTTCACAATGCAATCTTAAGATGAAAAATAGTATGTAATTAGATAGCTTCTAGGTGTTGGCCGTTTGGGACTCAGGCTGGAAAAAAAATCCCCACATAAATCTGACATTAAAAAAAAAAAAACCCAAAAACCCATGACATTAGCTTACCGCAGACATAAAGAACACACTTTAGATTTTTAAAAGTAATTTTTTAAACCAAGTAACAAGGTTAAATGGTCAGGAATGGATTTCACTAAGCTATGAATTTATTTCTAAGTTAAAATGAAAATTGAGTTTGAAAGTTTAAGTTTGCTGATACTAACAAAAGGAAAAAGACAAGTTTAGGATTTTAAATTATCCACAGGGAAAAAAGACATCTAAGATAAATCTTTTCTCCCCCTTAGATCAACACTCAAGGAGGGGCTATAGCCTTGGGCCACCCTCTTGGAGCATCTGGCTGCCGAATTCTTGTGACCCTGTTACACACACTGGAGAGAACAGGCGGAACTCGTGGTGTTGCAGCCCTGTGCATTGGGGGTGGGATGGGAATAGCAATGTGCGTTCAAAGAGGATAAACTGTTTAAACTTCATTTCTCTTAACATTTTATGTGAAATCAGAGGACCAAAGTAAGGAAGGAAACCGTCTCCTAAGTTGATAGCTTGCTGTACTTTTAATGTGTAATACTCAAAGGTACGAGACAACTGCATCTAACATTGTTATAAATAAAAGACATCAAATTAATCATCAAGGGCTCCAGAGTGAACAGCATCTTCATAACCTCCATGTTTATCATCTTTACTTTCTGGATGTAACTTAATAAGATCATCAATTCGCAGAATGGTAATTGCAGCTTCTGTTGCAAATTTCAAACTCTTAACTTTAACTATGGTTGGTTCAAACACACCAGCTTGTTTGTTGTCTCGAGGTTTACCATTAATCAAATCAAGACCAATCCTGCAATTAATAAAAAGAATATTAAATGGCCACTTACAAGTTGATTAGGTCACCTATTAATTCCAGCAATTCCATTTAAATGTTAACCTTGAGAAATGCTGGGACCTTCTAAGTTAGATAAAAGCAGCACACTGAGTTGCATAAAAGCCTAGAACAGCTGCGGTTCTCAACCTGTGGGTTGTAACCTCTTTGTTCTATTTGTAACAATGCAGCACAATTAGGAAGGTTGAGAAGCACTGGCCTAGAAGCTAGTAAAGAAACCCTGTTTCCAAAGAGGACTGCCTGAGAATGGCTACTAATCATCCTAAAATCATCTCACCTAATACTCCACGAGACCTTCCTGTAGGTCCATGACTACCCCAGAAAAGGAGGGAAAGGCAAGGAATTAAGAGTTCTTAACATGATACCAGAGCTAACAGTCATTAGTCATGATCCCTTGAATCAGAGTGAAAGAACACTTGCTGTAATGTATTTTATGTAAAGTATCTGACAAGTCTGTTATTACATTTGCTACCCTATGGTAGACTACAATCCTTTTTAATACTACTATTTTCCAAAGGTCTAGAATAAGCTAAAAAGCTATTTATCACAAATGTAAAAAAAAAAAAAAGCTACTACATATGACATATAAATAACAGAAAGGACAGGGAAATTGTATGCTTACCATTTTAAATTTTTACGCTCTGGGTTAACTTGAGCCTCATTATGAAAAGCTCTTAGCTTTGCAACCAGATCTGTAGAGTCCTGGGCAGCATTAACTGCCAGCGTATTAGGAATAACAAGAAGAGACCTTGCAAACTCTGCAATAGCAAGCTGTTCCCGAGACCCCTAAGACAATGAGAAACAATTAGATACCTGCACAAATGGAAAAGAAGTAGAAGCCCACAGCAGCAGCTAATGTCTCAGACGAGGTATATTAATTAAGTGGCAAAGATTGTCTCTCTTGCCTTTTTTTTTTTTTTTTTTGAGACAGAGCCTCAAGCTGTCCCCCTGGGTAGAGTGCCGTGGCATTACAGCTCACAGCAACCTCCAACTCCTGGGCTCAAGCGAGTCTCCTGCCTCCGCCTCCCAAGTAGCTGGGACCACAGGCGCCCGCCACAACGCCCGGCCATTTTTTGGTTGCAGCCGTCATTGTTGTTTGGCGGGTCCGGGCTGGGGATTCGAACCCACCACCCTAGGTGTACGTGGCTGGCGCCTTAGCCAGTTGAGCTATAGGCGCTGAGCCGCCCTTTTTAAAAACAAATAATTCTTCTTACCATGCTGGTGGCATAGTTTTCAAGGTATATGGAAAGGGCTGCTTCTACAGCACCCCCACCTGGAACCACGGATTTTGACTCCAAAACTCTCTTCACCACACAAAGAGCATCGTGTAAAGACCGCTCCATTTCATCGCACATGAAGTCATTTGCCCCACGTAAGATAATCGATGCAGATGTACGAGCTTTAGTGCTATTAAAAACAAAAAGCAAAATTCTTAAAATGATATTTTTATAAAATAAGTATACATAATTCATTGCCAAGTGCCCTTGATTAATTTAAACCCTACTTACAGAGGACACTGAGACCACACGGTACCAAAAATAATGTCTAGTCCATGCACAAAAGATGAAAATGGTTATTTCATCTCAACTGACAATGGCCCACTATTATTTTATCCCATGCGTATAACTGCTCATATCATTGTAAGACTATGGCAGCAAATAAATGGGAAAATCTATTTTTACTCAAAAAATGTGTATAACCTTTCAATTTAGTAAGTAACTCCTAGCTGGTCATGGTGGCTCATGTCAATAACCCTAGCCTTTTGGAGGCTGAGGTGGGTGGACTGCTTGAGCTCAGGAGTTTGAGACTACCTTCAACAAGAGCGAGACCCATCTCTACTAAAAACAGAAAACTTAGGCAGATGTTGATGTCTATCCACAGCAAGAGTGAGACTGTCTCAAAGAAACAAAAAGTAACTCTTACTTTTTGATTAAGATCAGTTCGTCATCACAAATTCTCTCTTGTACCACCTCTTCTGCTTGTCCCAACATTGCAGCTTCAAAAGTTTCCTCACCTTCCAAATTGGCCAGGGTTGACAGAATAGTTGCTATTCAGAAAGTTAAAAGGGATCTGTAAATATTGCTCTTTCATTTTAATATCCTTAGATTCAAAAACATTTATGAGAAATTGTGTTAAGTTCAAAGTTTCATTAGGAATCAAGCCAACTGTTTTTTATCCTAAGATGGAGCTATGTCATTGAGGGAAACAATTCAGTACATGAATTTCTAACAGCTGTTTGTAACACAAAACATTAAGAGAATATAAATTTTTCAAACCTGTTTTGCATCAATAATCCAACATAAAAAGACCTCTGGCATAATCATGTGTGACATAACAATTTTATTTGAGGGCTAATAGAAGACCTACCTCCAGAAGCTTTAGCAATGCGTTTAAGGTCCCTTTTTAAAACTCTCCTAACTGCCATAGCGCCGGACTCCACAAAATACTTTAAACACATATCATCAATTCCACCAGTGGTTAGAATAACATTGGCACCAGTTGCCAGGATCTTCTGAATTCTTTCCTTGGTGATATCTGATTCTCTGCAAAGGATTTTAGTAACCCAAAATTACTCTGTATTTTCAAAATACAGCTATAAATCTACTAGTTATCACAAGATAATCATAAATATATTTAACTCTTCTATGACCAGAATTTAAATTAATCCAATTTATTGAAAAGGTCAAGGAATTAAAACCACTTAACTTTCCCCACCCCGACTTTGAGTTACTCATTAAGAAATGAGAGTGGGCCAGGTGAGGTGGCTCACGCCTATAACCCTAGCACCCTGGGAAGCCCAGAAAGGTGGATTGCCTGAGCTCACAAGTTTGAGACAAGCCTGAGCAAAAGCGAGACCCCGTCTCTAAAAATAGCAAGAGCATTAGGTGGCACCTGTGGCTCAAAAGAGTAGGGCACTGGTCCCATATACTGGAGGTGGCGGGGTTCAAACCCAGCCCTGGCGAAAAAAGTGCAAAAAAAAAAAAGAGACAGCATTGTGCAGGCACCTGAAGTCCCAGCTACTTGGGCTGGTGAGGCAAGAGAATTGCTTGAGCCCAAGAGTTTGAGGTTGCTGTGAGCTATGATACCACCGCAGTCTACCAACAAAGTAAGACTCTGCTGTCTCAAAAAACAAGGTGTTATGCAGAGATTAGCAACGCTTGAAAAACATAAATCCAACACTGGAGGTGGGACAAGGAATATGAGAGCAGTCCAGAGTTGAAACCACAAAAGCAGACCAAATCAAAAAATGAAGAAACCAGTGGGCCACATTGAAGAGTCTAGATGGCTTAAAATCTTATTTTTTATTTTTTTTGACACAGGGTCACATTGTGTCACCCTACATAGAGTGCTGTGGCTTCACAGCTCACAGCAACCTCTTGGGCTTACGCAATTCCCTTACCTCAGCCTTCCAAGTACTTGGGACTACAGGTGCCCGCCATAGCGACCGGCTATTTTTTTGTTGTTGTTGCAGTTGTCATTGTTATTTTTTAGCTGGCTGGGTCGGGTTTGAACGTGCCAGCCTCAGTCTATGTAGCTGGCACCCTACCCACCAAGCTATGGGCACTGCCCAAACCTCATTTTTAAGAGAGACCAATACTGTCAAATCTTTGTTTTCAAAAAGATCCCCTCATATCAACAGGGAAACTGCACTGGGAAGATGAATGGCTGAAGGCAAGGAGATGGCCTGTGTAACTGGGAGGTATAACCAGTGACTACTGGAGTCAAATATATACCAACAGGTTGGGGGTCAGGGTGGAAAATGGGAGTTAAGTTTGGGACAAGACTAAGTTTGAAGCTTCTGCTGCTATTCAGGTGAAGCTGCCAGAAGTGGTCACTTACAGTATGGACAAATTACAAATAAATTATGGGGAAGAGATACAGATTTAAGAAAAGTCAATATGTAACTGAAGCCATGTTGAATAGATAAGAGCATTCAAAGGATTTTTGAAGTAAAACGAATTAAAGATCAATCTCAAAAGAAAACCCTCTATAAATAGGTACTGTGTGTCAGAAATTGTATAAAAGAGTGGGATTACAAAGCCAAGGAAATCATTCTATCTTTACCTGTAGAGCTCACAACCTGGCTATACAAACTTAACAGGAGACACTGGTAAGCACCACAAAGAAAGTAAGGAAGTCACAACGGAGTATAATTTAGATGAAGGAAGAAAGAAAAGTTCCTCTGAAACTAACTAGCTCAGTTGTCTGCAAGAATATGGGCAAGAAAACAGAAGTTGGTAAATTAAATTTGAAGATGTAGGGTGGCAAAAAAAATAATTTGTAGGCAGAAATTAAATGATCTTAGAGACAGATTAGAATGGTTATTAGGCAAGAAAAGAAGAATTAAGATTTCCTAGTTTTTCTGCCTGAAACGGAGGGGTCCTCATCATTAAGATGGTCAAAAATGGATGTGAGCTATTATCATGATTTCGTTCAGTTTTATACATACTGATTTTGCTGAGATGCTTAAGCAGCAATCAATTAGACAGATGTATGCCTCCCTGAAAAGCATTTCAAGAAGTAGTCCAAAGCTTGCTTGTTAAAAAGCCAAATAAAAGGAAGGCTGAAAAAAGTCTTCTAAATTTCACATTCATGATCACTAGTGACATAGAACAAGCAGTCCTGCAATGGAGAGCAGGGGAGACAAGGTGATGAGAAGAAAAGCACCCAGCAACAATTCTGACCAAATCACTCTCATGGTCATAAAGAGATGGGGAAGAATAGGGGGTAAATAGAGCGGGATGTGTTAAGAGGCTTATCACTTAAGGGCAGGAGAGCTGCAACTGGAATCTAGAAAAGAAAGAGTTAGTTGACGCAAATGAGAAAGACGTCAATGGCAAGTCTCTAAGCAGCGGTTCTCAACCTTCTTAATGCCGCAACCCTTTAATGTAGTTCCACAATATGAGGAACTGTATTAAAGGGTCGTGACATTAGGGCAAAGGAAGACACTCTGGAACACTTATTGTAGAGAGCGCTTTTATGGAAGAAAAGACACTTTGTTAGAAGGAAGGAGAAAAAGAGTATCTCTGCAGATAGATTTAAAAGAGGATCCTAAAAGGGGGGGGAAAAAAGAAATAAATAAAAGATGATCCTGACTCTTGGCAAAGACTTTTTGTAGGTCTGGCTTAACTGCCTTTCAAAACGGTTTACTATTTCAAAGAACTGTTAAAAATACTTGATATGGGCTCGGCACCTGTGGCTCAAGTGGCTAAGATGCCAGCCACAGACACCTAGGGTGGCGGGTTCGAATCCAGCCAGGGCCCACCAAACAATAATGATGGCTGCAACCCCCCAAAATAAGCCAGGCGTTGTGGTGGGTGCCTGTGGTCCCAGCTACTTGGGAGGCAGAGGCAGGAGACTCGCTTGAGCCCAGGAGTTGGAGGTTGCTATGAGTTGTGATGCCACGGGCGGGGCGGACAGCTTGAAGCTCTGTCTCAAAAAAATTTTGATATGGTTCAAGTTAAGAAGGCAATCAAAATCCTTTAGTGGAAGTCAAACTATCTTCAGGACCAGCATGGCAATCAATACCACCACCACTTGTACCCCTCAGACCCAGCATAGAGCAGGCACAATTTATACTATACCACCAAGCTCTGTACTGCTTGAGCAAATTAGATTTCTGCCTTTTATACCTTTAGTATCAACTGACTCATAAAAACTGAATTCCACAAAGGGCCAATTTTCACCTAAGTTTTATCACCTTAAATCCCTCTTATAAAATCACCAGCACACAAGTTTTTCTTGAAGTTCATCTAAAATAGTTTGACTTAGCTAAACTGGTTTTTAAAGTCTTCCAAGACACATTCAGAACTCCAGTTCTATAAACACCATATTCTGCTACCTAGTACTTCTGGTAATTTGCTCTGTTATACATTTATGAGATAGCATGCTATGCATTTTTTATAGTTTACTATACCTTGTCAAACAGAAGGATAATTTACAAACACCCCTCTCAAAGGCTAAAAAAATCTCTCAACATACCTCTGTCTAATCTGGTCCAATTTTTCAGGGTCTGTAACAATCACCTGTACACCAAGTTTCATTTTTGTTTTCTGCAGGCTGAAGTCAAGGCAAGCAATTTTTGCATTAACTATTCTCTTGGGCATGCCTGTAATTGAACATAAATATTAACTTCCTTTATAATTAGCACAATAATGCTGTGTTTCTTAAAATGCCACTATCCTTAAAACCATAATAAAAACTAGCATAAAAATACTAGATTACATATGTAATACAAATTTTAACTATAACTTCCTACATTTAACTTTAGAAAAACTTAATGGCATTAAATGTACATTATTTCTTTCCATTTGCATTCACTCTAACATGTTACACATACATGTACTTTAGTTACAAAAGGGTATACTACATGCAAGCCAAAGAATGCTAGTTTTAACTTGTAGTAATCTTACTCTATAACCAAATCCTCAACGAACCTTACCCTGGGATCCCACCACACAGTTGAGCGCATAGCCATTGATCAGCATACTCTCTATCTGACTTCTCCCGTGGGCTTTCAGAATATTAACAGAATTGACTGGATATCGAGGTTGGCCTCTTGTATCTGTGTATTTAACAGCAAGCACAGCATCTACTACCATATTAGCAAAGAAATCATCATTTCTAAATCAACAGTTAAGGATAATGACATGGATGATACAAAGGGTACACCTAAAATCAAGGATCATTTGAAGGAACTTCCTTTTAATAATCTCATTCATCAAAAAAACAAGCATTATTTATGCCATCAAAATGCTATTTATCATTACCTTTTCACCCTAGAAAACCAGGCAATTCCAATACATCATTTGCCTCTACTGCAATCATCAATTTGAATAAAATCAGTATATCTTACACCATAAAAATAACAATCTTGTTTTTCAAAAAACCTAAATTTTATTGGACCACCACAAGGATACATTCCAATGATTTTGGAAGACATTGATGTCTTAGCAGCATTAATCAGGCAATCTCTCCCAAGTTCGTCTGTGTTAATAATTAGGTTTTCACTAATATAACGCACTGCTTCCCTGTTTAAAAGAATGGGAGAGAAAAACACTTACAAACCTGATATTCAAATGTTTTGCTTTCATCTTGTTTAACACAGTGTCATAGGCGGTTAACTTTATGTTCAGCCATTTCATATAGAAGGAGGACACTGAAAAACCCTCCTCCTTCAGATCACGGCAACTTTAATCTATCCCATAAGCATAGCCACTAAAATCTACCATTAGGAGAAAATGTGGTAGTCAAATGGGAAAATACATTTGCTTTAGATTCTTACATCAAATATTACTACTTACATACTAAAACATAATGTTTTCAATTAAAAACTTAATCATTAATCAAAGCATCAATGGACTATTAATCAAATAAAAAAATTTCTCTGAAAGAATCTTACTTGCAAGCAAGTCGATAGCCACTAATAACTGATGTGGGATGAATTTTCTGTTTGACTAGTTCATCTGCATTTTTAAGAAGTTCTGCTGCAATAATAACCTGTCGAGAAAACATTCATTGCTCTAAGCATGCTTGACATTCAATGTGCATTAATGTATGTGTAAAACCATCAGATATTACTGACCAGAATGGTGATGAAATGAATAACTCATTATTAGAAACTGGAACAAGAGAATCCTACAAAGTACATTAAGTCCTCACTGAACATCAACAGATTCCTGGAAACTGCAACTTCAAGCAAAACATAGAGCAGGGCCTTGAATATGGCTGTTATAACTTGATGATGGAAAAAAAAGACTTTTTTTTTTGGAGACAGCCTCATGTCACATCCTGGGTAGGGTGCTACGGCATCATCATAGTTCACAGCAACGCCAACTCTTGGGCTCAAGTGATCCTGCCTCAGTTTTTCTTTTTTCAGGAGATTTGGGTCTCATTGTTGCTCAGGCTGATCTCAAGCTCCTGAACTCAAGCAATCCACCCACCTCGGCCTTCCAAAGTGCTAGAATTATATAGGCATGAGCCATCTCACTCCACTACAACTTTTTAATGAAGACTTAAAACCCTGTCTGCTTCTTTTGGGGAAACTGAATTACTTTCTTATACTTTCAATTTATCCCTGAAATTGTCTGTCAGTATTTAAAATATAAAAATATTTTTTTCCCCAAACTGCTAAAACTTTTTCCTCTAGATACTTATAAAAATCAGCTCCCTAAATTCTTTTTTTTAATGACCCTTCTGTGCTCACTCTACCCAGTGAATACCTACCACTGAGGTAGTTCCATCTCCAACTTCTTTGTCTTGAAGATCTGCCAATTCACAAAGAACTTTGGCTGCAGGATGTTCCACCTCCAGTAATTTCAGTATGGTTGCACCATCATTAGTAATGGTTACATCCTAAGAAATTTGCAGGAAAAAAAACAACATAAACTGACACAGAAATTAACATAGGCCCATTATCATGCACATACATTTTTTTTTTTGGGGGGTGAGAGCTTCACTTTGTCACCCTCGGAAGAGTGCCGTGGCATCACAGCTCTCAGCAACCTCAGACTCTTGGGCTCAAGCGAGTCTCCTGCCTCAGCCTCCCAAGTAGCTGGGACCACAGGTGCCCACCACAACCCCCTGCTATTTTTAGAGATGAGGTCTCGCTCTTGCTCAGTTTGGTCCCTAACCTGTAAGCTCAGGCAATCCGCCTGCCTCAGCCTCCCCAAGTGGTAGAATACTGGTGTGAGCCACAGCCTGCACATACATCTTTGATAACAATGCCCACGATTCTGATATAAACAAAGAATTAACACAGCAAAGTCTCTAAGACCTTTTTTGATTTAAAGCAATACAACAGTTAAGTGTACTTACACCAATATCATCCACCAACATTTTATCCAAGCCAACAGGACCAAGAGAACTTTTCACAATGTTAGCAATAGAAGCTGCAGCCATAACTGGAGATAATCAATGAACAAAAAATAAAATCAGAAAAATCCACGACGCTAAAGAACAATCATTTCAGCTTGAAGAAAATGACTTCCAACTGCCCCTGAATTTTCCAAATCTACAAATGTCCTAATAAATAATATTTTTAAAATCATGTATTCAAAATCTAATTAGGGAGAACTAGTAAAACTCATCTTCAGTATTCTGTTCATTGCTATATAAAATAATCAACGGCTACAATCTCATAGTCTACCACTTCATACTGGGGAAAAAAATACATCAACCTTTTCTTTCACTTCCTTACAGGATTTTCTTCATTAAGCATAATTTTTTAAATCTGAAATGAAAAAACAATCCAACAGGGAAGGTGCTTTTACTTAAAATTGTTCAATTAAAAAAAAATTAAGCATCTGTCAAAAGTAAACTTGATAGCCACGCACTTTGAGTAAATGCACTACCATTCACATTGCATTATAGAAAACAGAAAAAATACTATGCTAACCTGTATTAATGTTTACTAAAGTAAAAACATCCACTTGACATCTTACCAGATAATTTTACCATGACAAACAGTAAACGACATGTTAGGTAAAGATTGGATCTGAGCCCCCCCGACATCGACTACAGTATATTTCGAGTCACCTAAATTCTGTTGTCAGTATAATTCGAAAGTCACCTAAATTCTGTTGTCATTTGTTCATTTGCAACACGAGCAGCAAATGAAAGACTCTAGTCTTTCCCTGTAGTTAATTATCATAAAACGAAGCCCCAAAGTTCAGATAAACCTCCACCTAATTAGAATCTAAACAAAAGGAGATTCGAGGGTTGGCTGGCACGTGTCAGTACGGAGGTTCAGAGTCTGGGCGAGGAAGCGCTTTCCCAACTGCCGACCCCCGACACCTACATCCACTTCCAGGCCGAGCAGTACTCAAAAATGTGCGGAGCTTTCGGGATTCTCCCCCTCCGGGGAAAAGGCGCTACGGCCCCGCCCCGCGAGAACTGCAAGTGGTCAGATCAGGCCGCGGGTCCCCGGGGACCCTTCCCGCAGGGGGAAAACAAAAAGGTGCCACTGGCCGGCGGCCCCGAAAGAGGGCTCGGCGCGCAGCGCCCGCGGCCCCGGCCCCGCCTGTCCCTACCATTCTGGGAGCGGATTGCCTCCCCAGTGCTGCGGTCCCCAAACACGGATAATGGCCCCTCCATCTTCGCGGCAGGATTTGCGACGAAATCTACCCACACCGCAGACAATCACTAGCTCGCTATCTCAGCCAAGCGGCGGCCACAACAGCGGAGGCGACAGCGTGGAGAGGACCGAGCGACGCCGCGACGGCTTCTGGGTAACACCGCCCCGCCCGCTTCTCCACTTCCGGGGCCCGACGGCCTGCCGGGAAAAAAGAAGGCGGCGGGGGGAGGAAGGGAAGAATCGGAACTATACCGGAAATGAGGGCGCAGGAAAGGCCCGGCTCTGTATTTTAACCAATTAGAGAGCGAATGAGAAGGGCGCGAAAGCGGAGAAAGGAAGCCAGGCCGGCCAACCTCTGGGAGGCAGGAAGTGCTCGGCTGAACAGTCTTCCGGCGCAGGCGCGTTAGGACGTTCTAGTGCCTTCTAGAAAAGGTGGTGGGAAGGGCGGAGCTTGGAGTTGGCGGTGTAACGGGAGCGGGCGGGGCGAACTGGGTTCTGAACGAGTCTCGTTTTGTCCGTATTCTCTTCCTTACCCTGAAATGCTTTTTCGGGGCTCATGACTCGGGTCAGCTAGCTTTGGTCAAGCGCTCACGAGTACAGGGTCTGAACCTGGGTGGGATGGGGCGGTTTTTCCTGTGGGCCTTTTTGGTTTGAAGAAGTAACAACCGCCCCCTTTGAGAACACAGTGATTCCAGCTCCGCCTCGTTTCCTCCCAGTGCTCAGCTGCGGTGTGTGGCCTGATGGTGATCAGTAGTAAGCCCTGCAATGAGAGGCCCCAAAGGCCGTGACGTACAATCTGTTTCCCAAAACGAACGAGGTCCGTCTTGATGCCCCAGGCCTGGGGCCGGGGCGTTGTTCCGAGGTGGTCGGTGGGCTCAGAGGCCTGCGTGCCCTTTGGCGCAAGCGATGATTGGCGGAGGCATTAACAGATTGCTCGGTCGGTCTTTCAGCGGAATCGAGCTTATTAGTTCCGGGTCGAGAGCGGTCTTGCGAGGAAGATCTGTTTCCCCAATTTGAACATGGCTGCGCCCGGTGCCCGCTGAGGAAAAGGAGGTGACTGTCCGAGACCGTCTTAGCGATGGCGCTTCAGTCGCAATTCTGCAAGTTGTTGTCGATTTGCAGGAACCCCGGTAATTAAAGTTGCCTCCACTTCTCCCGGTTTACTCCCCAGGGCCTGCACAATAAAAGTTGATGTGCAAGTTCTATCTTATAGTCCATGTCCCTTACCGAAAAGTAAACGCGCTAACAGAGCTGTGATGATCGTAGGTCGTCCAGACTAGAGTCAGGGAAGACTACTCCCTGCGGGCAAACATATATCATCCTCCTTCCAGGGCCCGAAGGCCAGGGACGTGCATGGGGACAGAGGTTAGCAAATGTTCCTGTTCTGTCCGTATTAGTTATTTTTAAAGATCCATGCGGTCGTTTCCATTTTTTAGAGTATAGGTTGGCAGCCCTCTCAACCAGTTCCAAGCCGACAGTGAAACCCGAAGTGGACCCTCAGGAGAATGAAGCTGTTGCCCCAGAGTTCACCAACCGGAACCCCCGGAATCTGGAGCTCTTAGGTGTAGCCAGGAAAGAACGGGGTTGGAGAACAGTGTGGCCCTCTCGTGAGTTCTGGCACAGGTAATTAAGTTCTTTTGTGATTGATAACAGTGCAGTGCACAATCCTCTACAGATTGTCGTATAGCCAACGTGCCAGACGCTTTGCTCTAGGGAAACTGATTTGTGGCTAGAGGCAAGGTTAGCAGAGGGGCTGGAACAAACAAATAGGTGTCATGGAGGAAGTTTATAGATGATGTTAGGAGAGGGAACCAAGTGCATAGGAAAAGCTGAAATCTGAAAGGTAGGAAGAAGCCACGTTATCTGCCAGAAAGTTTTCCTAGCAGAGGGAATAGCTGGCGTGGGAATGAGCTTGGTATGTTTTAGGAACGCAAAGGCCTGTGTATCTGAAGCTCAGTGAGCAAAGGGATGAGTGGCCTAAGATAAAAGTAGAGGGGCAAAATCATTAGCTTTGCATGTCAAGATGAGCATTTTAGATTTTATTTCACTGCAGTGAGAAACTGAGAGGATTTAAAGTTCCAGACTAATCTGGTTTCTAAAAATCATTCTGCCTCCTCTTATGGAAAATAAATTTTTAAGGAGGCAGGAGTGGAAGGAAGACAGACCAGTTAGGAGTCTATTACAGACATAAAATACTTTGTTAAAAAGATGGTGTTTATCAGACACTTTCTGTTTGCCAGGAATTAGGCTGTTTGTTTAGATGTATTTTCTTACATAATCCTTAAACCTACTTTATGAAGCAGGTACAATAATTTCTGCCATTTTACAGCATCAGGGAAGTTAAGGGTTAGGGGGAGACAGGATTAGTAAATGCCCCAGCTAAGATTCAAACATGTTTTATCTGACCTCAGAGCCAGGATACTAAATTACTACTGAGTTGTTGGAATATTTCTAAAAGACTATATTAAGATATAAAAGCAAGTTGGAGGTGATAATCTTGTGATATATTTATTCGACAAATATTGGACTTATATTACTTGCTAAGCAAAATTAAGGAAATACAAAGATAAATTAGGCATCATTCATGTCACCAAAAGTCTTAAGAGTTTCATAGTGCAATATGGAACAGGTATAACATATTATAGTTGCTGTGATATGTTTTTACTTACAAGTATATAGGAAGGAGTTAAAGGTAGTAGGTAGTTCAATTGTGAAACAATGTGGATCTTAAATCTAAAAATCTTTTGAAACACCAAACCTATTACTTTCAGTTATTGTTTAGATCATTTAAAGAATTAGAGACCTATTTTCTCATTTTTACCCATCTGCCCTATTCACAACATCATTGGAGAATTTTAGAACATTAGAGTAGGAAATTACTTTAAAGATAATAAATCATGCCCCTTCTTAAAACATGGTTTAAGACAAGGGTCAGTATGGGCCTAAATTAGCTTGAGAACTAAAAAATTGTTCTTAATATTTTTAAAAAGTTAAAAAAATTAGAAGAAATAATATTTTGTGATATGTGAAATAGAGCCCACATTGCCAAATCTAATGTTTTTCTATTTTTTTTTTTT